ATATGCTGCGAACTTCTCATTACCCATAAATAAGCCACAGATTCCTGAGGAACTTCCTTTGAAGTGTTGTATAGAATCTAATTAATTTTAGTTATACATTCACACATATACAAAAGAGAGATGGAGATGAATCTAATATATGTAAGATTGTGTTAGTGCTCACTAGAAACAATTCTCTACCTCTTCTCAGTCATTTGAGATTCTAGTGCATTTCATAATTCATGTGAAATTTTATTTAACATTTATTTTTAAATATGCTTCTGTTTTATCTGATTTTGAAGAAACTGCCTAATGTGAAGAAATGCACACAACATGAATACTAACTAGAAATTCCAGCATTTAATATATGCATTTCCTATTGTTGTCATGACCATCTGGTGCCATAAATATACTTAACTACGTGTCATCTAAACCATTGGTTTTAACCTTTGCTCATTTGCAGACCTCTGTGATTTTGTTGCTTTTTGTTCTTTTTTTTTTAATGTAGAGCTGTGGACTGGGCAATGCAGAGCAATGTCTGGGCTTACTGCATTGAGTTGCTTTTCTTGATTGTCTTTTGCTGAAAACTCTAGTCTGTGTACCACAGCTTGCAACTCAAGTCTAAGCAAATGGGTCTTCAGGTTTCTTAGAACAGAATATTAAGTCTGGCTCAAATGTAGAAGTGTGCTAAAGTAGTCATGGTCTACAGTAGTTGTCGGATTTTTTTGGCTGGTTGATTGGTTTGTTTTTTTCTTAGACCCTGTTCATGGCTCCCACTTCTGTCTTGAAAATTGTATCTTTTTGTCTTATTTTATTTATTTATCATTTTTTAATCTGCAGCTGGCCATATTTTGAACCAATATTGATTATCCCCTTTCTGACAAATTTCTTCTGCCTCAAACACTAGCTGGTGTTCCTTTTCTGTTTCAGCTCTGAGGGCATAGGAGAATGATTTTGTGTGTGAATGTGGGGCTAAACAACATACAGGAAACCATCTGACCCTGGACATTCTTTCTGGTTTAGACATCCCCTTGTATGTAACTGGGACACTGCAATTCTTGGTTCATGTTATAAGGCTACAAATCCTCAAACTTTCAATATCATATATAATATTGTCAGATTCTGAACTACATACATTTTGTGAAAAATGGAATGATATAAAATGTTAATGACATTCAAGAGTTTTTACAGTTTTGAGCAGATAATTGTCTAGTGGCACTCTGCAACGTACAGAAAAAAGTTTGAGCTATAAAAATGTGTATTATTCCACAAGTACTGATACTCCCTGTTCAGAAAGCATCTCTCAGTTCATTCAGCCAGTATGAGACATACCAAGAGACACATGTACTTAAGCAAAATGGATAGCTGAGAGTCAAGTGCTTCTTGATGGGCAGACATCCAAAAGGTCAGTGTAGACCATCATAGAGACGTGTAGGGGTAAAAAGAAAAAGCTTTTGTGAAACAGATGTTTAGGGCTACATGAAAAAAGTATGCCCAGTCTTAATTTGTAGCACTAATTTCCATAAAAGGTTTGGCAAAGATGGAGAACTTTTTTCCCAGAGGTGCAGATTATGGGAACCTTTTTATAGTAAAATGTTTTCATTCCTATAAGGAATATAGGAATTTAAGGAATACTATTTTTAGAGGAAGAAACAGATGCTTCATGGAGTAATTAAGAACCCTACTGGTGAGTTTCTATGTGATTGTGAGCCACAGTAGTGATCCTTTTCTCCCCCCTTCTCTTTTCTCAAGAGAATCTGATTCTGACCACAGCTAGAAATGTATTACTGAGCATTTAATCTTAACATGGCCCAATTAAAACACCCTCCTTGATCTTAGAGAGATACAATAGAGTTTAAATGCATGTGTATTACTGGTTCCAGAAAGACAGTTCTGCTTCAGCACTTTCAAAACTTCCCCTCATAATTTTAAAATAAAAAATTATGATCACTATATTGTATTGTTATATAAACAATAATAATAATAATATAATTATATGCATTTTTCATACAACTCAAGTTCCACAGTTAATTTTCAATTTATCTAAAGGAAGGTTCCAAAAGCCTTACTGCCTGTATTTAAATCCACTGACCAGCAAGATCATTATCTGCCATATAAGTATACTTTTAATCTGACTAAATATGTATACAAATACTCATTTTCCTTGCAAACCTAATGATCCTTTATAAGTTTAATCTTCCAGAACATCATATGGCCAAAAAAATTACTCTGGAAGACATAAGAGTACATATTGTACAGCATTAGTAGTTACTGATCCTGCACAGCACCTTATCTTTGAAAGCTGTTGGGGGGAGAATCAAATATGGCCAGTGATTTAGACGACAATTAGCTCTATGCATTTCTCTTCTTAAAAGTATATGACTTGACATTCAAGTTTTCTTGGTATTGTTCTAGTTTCTAGTTCATTGTAGTTGTCATCTTGGCTTCTCAGTGGCAATTGCTTGTCTTCTTTATATGTTATTTCATTATTTATTAATTAAAAAGCTCTTTTTATCATGGTAAAGTAGTTGAAACAGGATCAAACAAGACAATAAAACTTCAACCTGAAGAGACACAGTGATTGATGGCAGAACAGCGTTGCAGTAATAACATAAATAAAATACTAATGTTTGAATGTGCAGATTTTAGTGAGAAAGCAAAAAGGGACAGCCCAAAAACACAACGTCCAAGATGAAATGAGTGAACAGATATGGGTGTAAAAAGGAGAAAAGGGGAAAAAATAAAAATATGCTGAGCAACAATTAAAAACAGGGAAAGAATTCAAAACTTGAAGTTATGTGGAAAAGTTAATATATCATGAAATGTCACACAAGAAAGAAATCCAAAACTATTATTTTGAATCTAACACAGATCAGTTGACAAAGATGAAAGTTAAAGGATTAGAGTTTGAATAATTGAGACATTATCTCTAATTTTATCAATTGCTCTTGGATACTGATTGTGTAAGTGCTCCTTTTCTTTAGATCTTTCACAAGATCAATAATACCAGGGGTTTGGGTAATTTTTTTTTCAATGCTTCATCTTCAAAGATCTATACATTAATCGGTTTATTCTTGCGGTATCCCTCAGAGAATAGGTAAGTGTCTTCTCTTATAGATCGGGAAGGCAATAAAGCCTGTGTCCTTCACATGTCTTTGGGTAAATAGTCCCTTTGCAATCAATGGCACCTGACTGAATCAAGGAAGTATGATTTAGTTTTAAGTGTCTTCAGATAAACCGTAGTACAAGCCAGTGAACAGAAATGGAAAGCTCTGACAAGCCTCTGTGTCACATTCTTTTGCCAAAGCATTACGTCATGTGAGAAGGAGGAAAAGGCAGGGGGGAAGGGAAGAGTGACTTCAGCACTGCTGGTGGGTGGTGGGTCATGTTTAATTTCCAGATCCCAGACTATGTCATTGTTCTTTGCTCATGGTTTCACTAACTGAACCCCTGACTTGGTGGTTCCTGTGGGTGACAACCCACTGCAGTCACTGGGACATGCTTTTGGTGTCAGAAAAGCACATGTTCAATCACATTACAGAATACTGTTGGAATATGAACGTAGAGTAGGACGAAAAAAAGCCCAAACTTGTAAAAGTTTCTAAAAATGAGTTATTGGAAAGGTGTCTGCATATGGTGAATTCCCCACAGAAGTAGCTTGTATGTCCTGCAGTGACCTACTTCCAGATTTTATTTCATGTGTGCTACATATACTACTCTTGATCTTTGTTTTGATTTGGAAAGATAAAAACAACAGGTAGAATGCTAGATCAAGACTGTTTTGAGGGTTTTTTCAGCAGTTGGCTAGATAATGAGCCAATTCAAGATTTTGAAACATCTATAATAACACAGCTATCAAAATACCTAATTCTACAGGCCTATACTGAGTTTGTACTCTTTTAAGAAATGTAAAAGAGAAATGAATCTGTCTCTTGCTAGAAGAGATCAAAACTAAGTGAAAGAAAACAGCTTTTGAGAAAATATCACAGGCAGCAGAGGAAAAATGTCAGAACCCAGGAATAGCTTGTGATCAGAGCAATGTCAGAAAGGAGGCTGGAGAACATGCAAGTCCTCAGTGTGGTTTCAGCAGAGCTTTTGTTGAATTAATAGGGATATAGTGGAAAAAAATATGCAGCTCTGGCATTGCTGCAGATTTGTGATTCACAGTCAGCTTTCTGAGCAGCCATAACCAGCGACCTGTTACGTACCTGGCTTTTCAAGAAAGCTTGCTGTTCTCTCCTGTGCTGTTTATGGTCAGAATTGGATGTGACCTCTGACTCGTGTGCTACATGTACTTTATTTTCTCTGCTTAGCAAAAGTAAGTACAGAACCCTTCTTTTGCTCTTCCTGAGACATTCTTCTTCAGTATGGCCTATCCCTTTCATAATTGAATAAGAGCCACTGTAATTTAAGGATCAGTGGATCCTCACACCTGATAGAGGTTCTAGCAGTGCATGTAGGGGTCAACTTCTTGCATGCTGCTGCCCCCATGCCAACACAGGGTAGTTAGGTGAGAAAACTAATATCTTCTCAGAAGGAGGAAGATGCTTCTGGTACTTCTGTATTCCCCTGTAAAATCTGGTTACTGAGATGAGTGAGCTGTCAGACAGCTAAAATGCTGCCACTTCTTGGATTTTAGTGATTTGTTATCTTAATTCTCTGATCCTCATCAGGCACAATTCTGTGATCCCACTTTCTTAACATGGTTTCGTTATATCCTTTTCATTTTCTCCCATGTCAAAAACAAAACATTTTTTAAACCTAAGCAGACTCCTATATAAGTTTTTATACTTTTTTTTCCTTAATTATCCCATTTTTCTATCTTCACAATCAAGTTTGGCCCTTTCTGGTGTAAAGCAGCATAATTTAAATACTATTTAGAAGGAGTGTTTTTTCCAGTAACAATTTTGCCTGTGTCTAAGAATGTTAAAGATGCTAACTTGACTATATGTTTTAAATACAAGGGAGAAAACAATGTTGATTTACTACTTTCTACTGGCATCAAATAAATGATACAAAAATTCTGAAAAATTATTCTTATTAATGATGGACTTTCTCATGTTTTCACTCCTTGCACTGTAGTAATTGGTCTTCTTCTTCTTGCTTTTGTTTGCTTTAAAGGAAGCAAAGCCATACTTGTTATTCCGGCCCAAAAGCTGTAACAAAAAATTACTGTCAGTCTAAAAGTTCAAAGATGTATTACTTAAATAGTGCATTCAACATGTTTCTAGTCCAACAGCTAAGTTGTACAGCCAGTCTGCTCTAATGCCTGTGCAGTGCAAGATACGTAGCTCTCATGACTAGACTCCTTCCTACCAAGCTCTTTAATTTGATTGTCATGTCTTTATTAGAGAACAATTACTTCTGTGCTGACACTGAAAATGACTCAGCCTTAGTTATTAGCCTGTTTTGCTCCTGCTGTCACAACAAGTTAAATAAAATGCATTGCAAGGAATGTGTGGTAAAGTTGGAAACGTAAACCAAATACAGCAAGAAGGGACTGTGCTTTGAAGAAGTGTCTAATTAGCAAGAAGCATCCTCTGTGCTACAGAAAAACGTAAGAAAAAATGTTGTTTACTTCGTATTTACCAGTTATATTTTTATGAAATGCAATTGGAAATGACTGTCATGATGAGACACGTGTGAGATGTACACGTGTAGGTGGGGCCTTGAAATCTCTGCTTTTGCCTTCAGAAGGGCTTGGAAATCCATCTATATCCTAAAAAGGAATCTAAAAACAATGCTAAACCCCAATTTGGTCAACACCAACCAATCTCATTGGCTTCTCCCTTTGCTGTTTTTTTCAAGATCTGGAAACAGACTTGGCTGTTCTCATCTTCCAAAGCCTGTTTCTGTCCTGGAGCAGCAGGAGTAGTGTGTGGCAGCAGGGCAGACAAGGACAGGGACCTCACCCACAGGACCCCATCCCATAGCAGACAAAAAGGGCCCAGGGTAGGTCTGGTGATGGTGACCAGGGTCAACCAAGAGTCCAACCAAGGCCTTACTCTGAGGCAAGTCAAGGACAAGCCAGGACATCATGTCAGGATCAGCAGGTTAGGAAGCCAAGAAGAACAGGCTTACCTACAGCTTAACTCAGGCAAGGACTGAGCTGACAGGGAGCTCCTGGGCCTGCAGGCAGAGGGTACCTGAGCTGAACTTCCAATTTAATTGAGTGCTACTGTTCCTGCAGCCCGAGGGCTTTTGGAGTCTGTGATGGCTCTTCTGTGGGAGTAAGAAAGTACGGATGGTGCAATTCTCTGCAGTGTCTTCCTCCCCACAAACCAGGCAGCTCTGAATGAGCTCCCTGTATTCTAGCATCTCAATCTCTTACAAATGCAGCATAATATGGTGGAAAAGAACCCTTTCTTCTACTGAATTCATAAATTTGTGGGGGGAGTTGAAAGATGTCTAATTTTTATTGTCTGCTCTGTAATGCAAATGCTGTTCCAGTTATAATAGTCTCTGACTACACAATATTATAGTTACATCTATATAAAACTTGCCACTCCAGTCCATTAATTTTCAGCCATTGTTCATGTTTTTCATTTTTGTGGTCTGCCAGAATGAGTGTATAGTCCAGAAAACATGTTATAGTATATGAAACTCTATATTGTGTAGATGAAAAAAGTGATAAAGGATAATACATTTATATCATAATTGCATTTCCATAAAGAAGGTTAAAAATACATGTGTAATGTTCAATTTAATGTAGGATTATTTATTCTAATGGGACTCACATAAATCATTATTTTAAGATTGTAATCTCTTTATTCTCATTATATTTAGTTACACAGCCCAGCCTCTCTTAATGTTATAAGTGCTAGTTACTGGTGTTACATAAATAATGAATGGTGTTTGTGGTAGTTTTATGTTTCCTGGTAATCTGTTCTCTTTATGTGCACCTTTTTTCAGTGAATATCAGGTATCTTTGCCTTTCCACTTTCCCTGAACTGACTTCAGAAGTGAGGTTATCACTGCACCTGAAGTGTGCAACAGCCAGACAATCAGTGGGCTGCACTGCTCCTGTGCATCACCATCTCCACAGGTGCAGCTGGCTGAATTCCAAGGGCTGAATTTTGAGTCTTAAGTCTGTTCCATTGGTGCTGATTAAAGCACTAACTGAAACAGCAGAGCTGATGGTACAATGGTTTGGTCAGTTCTGTCTCTTTCTGTAGTACTCAGCTTTACCTTTGTTTATAGTAGTATTTGGTGCTTTTTTTGAAAATCGAGTACTGTTAGAAACAGACCATGTTTGGCAAGGTGGTATTTAGATGAAAGCAGCACACTGTATCTCATTATAATTTCTACAGACAGAAAGCAGCCATAGCTTTGTTTTAAATGTTGAGAAGGACTGTAGAATGCAGTAATGTTGACAGAATTGTTATGAAATGGTCATTACTAAAATCATCAGTTTAGGTAGTCCCTGATTTCCTGTGTCTCGCATAGACCTATTAAACACTACAGTGTTGCTGGTCTATTTAAATGAGAATTTGCTGTAATCATGTGCACTTGCATGCCAGTTCCCTGCATTTCAAGTTCTGATTACTTGCATCCAGGTGATTCTATTCAGTATTGTGCAAAACAGCTGGTATTCCTACGTAGCCAGAAACACAAGAGAAGAGTGACATATGTGAAGTGGGAGTTCAATTCCAGGCTGTGTAACGCATGGCCTCTTTTGATTTTTGTTTTCCCTCATCAGGACAGTTGCAAAGACTTACCCACAGTCTCCTAAAAACACCAAACAATATCCAGCTTCTCCTGTGAAGCATCGTGCCACTTCCAATCTCAACCAGGAAACTCCTAAAAAGAAAGCAGACAAGGAGAAAGAAAATGTCAGCCATCAGAAGTCCCCAGGAGCGCGCACTGACGAGGCAGGCCAGGTGACTCCTGAGAAGCACCTGCCTTCTGCTGGGAAGACTGAGAATAGTGAAGGTGAGTCTTACTGCAAGAATATATTGCAAGATATCGTGGGTCCCTGAGACTTTTATGCAGTGCTGAGCTGTTCTTTTCATGAAGCTGCTCTGTCATAGGCTATGAGGATGTGTAAAGATACATATTGGAACCTGTAAATGTATAGTTTTCACTAATGTACCAAAACCACTTGTTAGCGAGGATGTGAAAATGCTGAAATTCCAGGATGCCCTTACCTACTCCATATTCTGTCTGCTGAAAATGCTGAGGGGTGCTTTTAAAAAGGTGTCTTCCAGTGTGAACCAGGCCCATTTCAGCCTCTGTGCGAGTTTGGAGTTGCTGAGCACTCACTGTCTTTGTTCCCTGCTAAACTTTCCATCCTTGGTCCTCTTCTCTTAGGGAAGATCACGGCAGGAACAAGTGATGCAGAAGAAGCTTCAAAAATTCTAGCTGAAAAAAGACGACAGGCCCGCCTGCAGAAAGAACAGGAAGAAAAGGAGAGGCAGGAAAGAGAAGAACGGGAAAGGCATGTCTATTGCTTTGTGAAAGTTATTACCTAATAATTAAAGGTGTATCATTGAAAATCCTTGAATCTGTGGTAGTTTTAGAGTCAAGTGGGAGCTTACATGTAGCTGTTAATTTCTTTAATCTCAGACTCATATTTCATTAATGTCTTTTGCAGCCTCTATGACCAGTGAAGTTCAGAAAACAATGATTTGGCCTCTTTAAGAAGCTTGAAAAAACTAATACTTATCCAAATACTTCAGGTATGTCCACACTGCAGTGTACTGCACACTGCAGTCTGGACATACCTGAAGTATTTTACATTGTAAAAAAATATTTGAGGCAGCTTTAAATGAGCTAGATCACATACAAGAAACAGTCTTGCAGTAGTAGTATTGCATTAAATGGCAAGGCTTGTATTGTTCAACAAATTAACCTGAAATTCACCTTCCCGCCCAACTCTGCTGTAAGCACTGAGGGCTTTAGGAGTTTGGGCATAATGAAGGTTGCTGTATCTAAGCAGCAAAATTCTAGTTCTGGCTTATTCTCTGAGCAAGCTTTTAGGTTGTTCTCCAGATGGGATGCTGGTTGCAAGTGTCAAACCCTTCCTTCAAACTCGTAATAGTAAATCACTAACTCAGCATGTCTAGATTCAACTTTGTTTTTTCTTATTGAAAACACGGCAGTGGGGGTGGGTGGGAGTGGAATCACCAGCTCCTGCCACTTTGGCTCTGAATCCCCCATAGAATGATAAGAATGATCACTTGCAAAGCAGCTCTCCTGTGGTGACAAAGGAGCATGATGTCCCTCAGTGGGCCAGGGAACAACACAGGTGGACTTTAGACCCACTCTTTCTAGTGTTCCACTGTGTTTTGTGGACTTCTGCTGCTGCTCATCCAGTCTGTTTATCTTCAGCTGAAACAAAGGATAAAAGAACCTGCTTGCTTGCAGATACCAGAATTCTGGGTGTCAAGTACTGGGGAAAAGGGATGTTTTTATTCTTGAAACTTAATTTTATTATTACCTCTAATTGACACTCTAAACTGAAATGTTTTCTTTTTCTTTGATCATACCTGTTTTTTCAATGGAAATTTTAATTTCTGTGAAATATTTTAGGCATTGAAAATAAGATTAAAGTTTGATAGCAGCCTGAATGCTGAGCATGTGTTCAACCTCTTTGCTGTGTCTTGGCATCTTTCGTGAACATGTGTGTTGATGCATATGCTATCAGTTACTGATACAGCAGGATTCATGCTAAACAAGGTGAAGCCTTTTAAACATACTGTTATGTTTTTTGCAGGCTTGAAAGAGAGGAACAGAAAAGAAAGGCAGAAGAAGAAAGGATTCGTCTGGAAGAAGAAGCTCGTAAGAAGGAGGAGGAAAGAAAACGTGAAGAAGAAGCAGCCAGAAAAAAGGCAGAAGAGGAAGCCAGGAGAAGAGCTGAGGAAGAACAGATGCTAAAGGAAAAGCAAGAAAAAGAGCTCCAGGCCAAACTTGAGAAACAGGTACCATCTCAAGCAGAAATGTGAAACTTTGTACACATATAAATAAATACTTTATAGTATTTGGTAATCTGCCTGAAATAAATAATGGCCCTGTCACATTTTACACATTTTGATTAGAGGGAAGAAGCAGAAATCAAAGCCCGGGAGGCAGCTGAACAGCTCCGTCTTGAAAGGGAACAAATCATGCAGCAAATTGAGCAAGAAAGACTGGAACGGAAGAAGGTAGATATTTGCATCTCTAGATAATTATTTCATTTCTTATTTAAATACATAATCCAGGAAGTACCCAATAGTATATACTAACAATAATCTGAAGGGATTACAGATGACTAGTTATGTCAAACTTAGTATTTGCTACTTACATGTTAGGGGAACATGGACATCAATATTTGTAACAAAGTGGAATTGCCTAAGGCAAATGACTCTCTACTAGGCACTGAACAAACATAGAATCAGCCTCTACCTCCACAGTTAAATAAATGCCTGAGACAAACAGGGAATGGCATGTCAAGGCAAATGTCAATTGCTACCCAACCCAGGACATCACAGACTACTGAGGAAGATGAATGACTTTGTTGGAAACTTTCTCAACAGAAGTTCTGTGTCATTAGTGGAGAAAGTTTATGTGATTAACAAACAACTTTTCTCCCACCTGGCTTGTTTCTTGGTTACATTGTGCAGAGGCAGCAGGACTGTGGCCAGTGCTGCACAGGGAAGTGGCTGGAGCTGCATAAATTAACTTTGTCTACAACTCTGTGGCAGGAAAGAGAGAACAGCTGCAGAACCCCTGTCTGGTTACAAAAGGTCATCTGTCCATTTTATTCCAATACATTTTTAACTGTTTACGACTGCCCTGGGAGCATGTTTCAGTTGGAGATTATAATACCAAACCAGAGCGTCTTACAGCTGAAATGGGTTCCTTTTTTAATGAACAAAGAAGGAAAACAAAAGTATTTTAGGATAATACCTTATACATTTCCAGCAAGAATAACTTCAGATACTTCATTTTACTCTTCTATTCAAAAAGGCTAACTATTTTTAAAGGAACTGTTTGGAAATAGTTGGAAGAAGAACCAAATTAAAATAATTGCTGTTGGTTTTAAACTAATGTCTTGTTCCAGAAATGAGCACAACTCGTAACTGCAAACACTTGGAACTAAAATACCTGTTTCTAAAGTGCCTCTACAGAGAAGGTCATGTTCTGTGAGATCTGATAGGTGAAAGCCAGCTCCAAGATGTTTTCTACCCTTTGTTTTCTTTATTTTTCTTATTTGTTCTCCATTTTCCAAGACAGGCCAGGATGAGGCCGTGACAATAAAGAAAAGTGTCTTTCTGTCGTCTTCTCTCT